CCCAGCATCTCTCTCACCATCACCTCCCAATGTCCCTTGATGACGAAGGTCAGAGCTAGCCCCATTGTCTCAATAAGAAGGGGGTCAGAGAAACAGGGGCTTTGTATCCAGGTCTCTGAATAAGGCTCTGAAATAGCCAAATTAATGCAAGGACTTTATACATTACCCAGCCTAAATAAAGATATACATGGCCAGGAAAACCTCTCTCAATGGAAAAGAAAAATTTATCAACAGTTACGTTACATCTTTTTCTATCTGAAAGAGTTTAAAAGGTAAGTCTGTCATAGAATTATATCTTTGGGGGAACTATCCCAGGCTATCACTACTCCTAAGAGTTAGAGAAATAGAATAAAACATTCTAGCTGAAGAAACATTATGGGTTGCAGGACTGCCTGGGTGGAAAATAGCTCATACTGATCATGAAAACCTTTTGTTTTCTGATCTGCTATTGTTTTATTTACTCTATTGGGAAGGTGACATTTTAGGCATCATCACTGTGATATTTTGTTCTCCATTCCAGTGTATTAGCCACTTAAAGATGTTAATCTGCCTGCGATTTTATTTTTTTAAATTTTCTCTGTTTTCTTTAACAGCAAATGGAAAGGGTCATGACAAAAAAAGATTATAATCCAGAAAAAATAACCAGACTAAAATATCAAGAAACAAATGTTCCTACTGGGTAACAATAGATTGAATTATCTTCAATAATATTGTTATCCTGTATATTCAGAAATTAAATATGTTTCAGACGCTGAGTATTACGTCCAACTCTGTTTAAGAAAGATTTTGCAATATGACGTTACTATCCCCACTTGGCATACTATAGGAATATATCTCACTGTAACAAAATAATTTAATGCATATTTATATAGAACCCTCTTCAAATACAATGTATTTATAGAAATTTAAGAATTTGTGATTTTGCCTCTCTGTTTTATTGAGTTATTGATCTCAAAGAAACACTGCCCATGTGACTGATCCCTCTCAGGCTTTGTTCGCAAAAGTTTGCAATGCTGACATTTGTATCTTCAAGCCTACCTCTCAGGTTATTTACCTCCATATGAAGTACTTGCCTCAAAAATTCATTACTCTAAAATTGTCCTCAAGCATTGATTCAAAGCAGGTATATGATACTATATTTGTTTTTTACAGTTTGTGTAACAAATTACCACAACTGTGGTTGAATAAAACATTAGAAATGTATTCTCTCACAGATCTGGAATCTAGTAAAATTTTTCTCCCTTTGGGAATCCTAAAGGAGAACATGTTTCATCCCTCTTCCAGCTTCTGGGGATTATCAGTATTCTCCAGTGTCTGGCCACATCTCTGTCTGCTCCGTCTTCTCATCACCTTGCCTCTGTGTGCCTTCAGCAGTTTGTTTCAAATCTCCTTCTGCCTTTATTGCATAAGAAATGTTGTCATTGGAATTAGGGCTCATCCATAAAATTCAGGATTATCTTAAGATTCTTAATCATATCTGCAAAGACCCTCTTTCAAAATAAGGCAATATTCACGGGTGCTGAGGATTAGGATAGAGATAGATCTTTTTGGGGTCACCATTCAATCCACTACACATACAGAACATTTAAGTGGGGCAATTTTATCTACAGACACAATATAGTTCCCATCATTATGCTAATTTGAATGTATCCTTTGAAAACACTGTTTTTAATTATTTTGACCTTTCAAACAATCAAATTGTAATTGTAATGTTTTTTAAAAAAGTATAAATCATGTCCTGGCCAATAGACAAAAATATATATTATATACATTTACTATATATAGCCTATATATTATATGTGTATAGTTTATGGAATATATTTAATATACATATACATGAATAAACCTATGACTAACTAAAAATGTCATTCATCTAAGTAATAAACATTTTCTGAGTGTCTACTGTTACCTACAAGTATACTAGTTATTATAGAAGATAAAGAAGTGTAAGATATATTACCATTCATTATCTGATGAAGGCATATCTCCATTCAAACAAATGACATTTGGTATCCTTGCCCCTTCATCTTTGATTTTACCTTGAGAATTGTCTATATTGTCATAGTAAGGACATAACTCTTTTAACTGTTATGACTGACCAAGCCTATATCTTTAATAGGTGCCTAAAGAGCCTACCCTTGTGCCTCTACTCTAATTTGCTAGAATAGAAAAGACTATCTTTATAGGCCATCTATCAAGTAGGCTTTCAATGGTGCCTAGATAAGTTCAAGCAGGCTGCTTCCTTTCTTTTTATAGTAACTGGTTGTAAACGTGCAAGAAAATCCTTCCAAGAAGAGGTTATGATTCCACTACAATTCCCCTTCATGCTTATACAATGAGGCTAGTGCATAAGCACAGTAATGACATTAGTATTTTTGAAAGATTCATATGACTTCTCCAACTTAAATACAGGCCTGCCTGAAAATTTACATTTACCTATGCCTCAAATCCTCCAAACGGATAGCCAGAATTCTCAAAATTTTATTACTGAATCCATCTTACATTATTATGCACTAAAAAAATAAAGTCAGTAATAAGTATAAACTGAAAATACATCCATCATAGAAAGAGATTTAACTTATATCTGGAAATGTGTCTGCTTTATAGAAACCTTGCCATTAGCCATGTGTGATAACAAGAAATTATATTTATATAACATTTTAAGTGCTATGTTATTATTTTAAATTATTTTTTAACTTGTGATTTCCGTATGAGTAAAGATATTATCTTCTATTTAACATGTATGAAGGGTTAACTCATTCTCAATGTCATTCACCTATGAAGCAGGACTTCCCCTCAAGGTAGAAACTGAAATTGAGGAGGAAACACTAGATTACATAAAACATGAGATATCTGTATTTTTTGTCCTTAATAATATATGCAGAAAGATGTCTACGTGGGAAATCTGAAGCACAGTGTTAAGATGGTTCTTTCACATGACACCATATGGAACCTGGGGAGTAACAGAAGGTTAATTTGAGAGTATAGCATCATGACTGATAAATTAGACATCCCCTTCCATTAGGAGGCATCTTATAGTGATACACCTTAATATATTTGGGATTTTTGCTTGTTCGATTTTTAGATGAGTAGAGAGAGATATATACATACATAAATTGAATGACTTGACTGAGCATTTCTAAGTCTCAGAATTTACTATTAAAAATTTCACGTAAAAAGGCAATAAATACAAACATATACATATATAATTTAATTACTGAAGCATTATATAGCACACAATCTAATGATGAGATAATACATTAAGTCAATTAGAATGTTTATATTGAATAATAGCTATTCAAACTATGTGTTAGAGAAATATTTTGACATGGAAAATGGTTCATGATATATGATAGAGCTAGTTAAACAAACAGCATTTTTCACATAATTTTTATAATAATGTTATATATGAAATAAACAGTAGAAAAGTATAACTGCACAATTATTTAAAATGATCACTTTTGTTTGTATGTTCCAAGATGTCATCTCTTTAGTCCTTTAACTAGAGTTTCGTGTGTTTCTAGATTTGTAAAACTTGAAGTCAAAATCTCATACAAAGTAGGTATCACATTGTTTACACAAGGGACTACACAAAAGCTAAAATATTCAAGATTCTATAATTTCTAAATAAGAATAAAAGCAAGAATATAACATAAAACCTGATGGTTAATAAGGCAGTAGAATTACAAACATGTATTTTTCACCAAAAATAAAATAATAAATTTCAAAACTATTTTCTTCAATGCTAACACCATAAAGGAAGTCAGTTAAGTGACACAATTTTCAGAAGAATCTTGAGAATGTATTATCCCCTGTAATAATTTGTATGCTTTCTCAAATTATATGTTCTTGTTTTCAGTGTAGAATACCAAAAATTAATGAAATCATGATAAGAGCAAATTATCGTGATAAAAATATAAATTATTAAAAATCCAATAAAACCCAGATAAATATAAATATCGGCTTATAAATATAATTCTTTATTAAAAGTGATTATAACTTTTGGAGGAAATGGCTGTTTTGTGATTGAAGTGGGGAGTATACAAAGGGAGCTTGAAACATCTGGTCCTATAGAAGGAAATAACTGCTCAAATACTATGGGAACATGTTAAAAAGACAGAGGAGCAAGCTTAGAAGGCCCAGATATAGGAAAATTAAGCACTAAAAAAACGACAACAATGAAGTACAACCCACTGAATAAAAAAAATCCATGAGTCCATACTGATGGATAGATAGATGATAGATAACAGATAGATAACAGATGATAGATAACAGATAGATAGCAGATGATAGATAACAGATAGATAGCAGATAGATAAGTGAATGAAGCATTTTTTATTCTAAAGTTGTCAACTAATAAATGTAAAAGCAATTATAGAGTCAGAACAACACATTTTGAATCATTACTAATAATTGAGTTAGGCAAGATAATCAATGGATGCTAAAACTAGTGACTGAATGGAACTAGTGAAGTGATGTTATGAGGAACAAGCTACATATGTAATAATTTTAATGGGTACTCCAGAAACTAATTAGGGGGGAAAAATCACATAATGGAGATACCTGGGAAGGACTATCTTCACCCAGTGATCCAAGTTAGCTTCACCCTAATAATAGGACAAGTTAATATCATATGCTTGCTCAGAATGCACACAGGAGAATACTATTTTTCCTGCGGAAAGTGAATAATTTGAACAAAAACACTGAGGAATATAGTACACTCTCAATTTGTTGGACATTATGCTAAAGAATTCTTCAAAACATCAGTGTTCAGAAAGGCACAAAAAGGCTGAGTAAATATTATAGGTACAGGAGACTAAAGACAGATGACTTTAGATACACACATAATCTGGTGTGGTTGGAGGGAGAATATTGTATATTAGAGAAAAGAAACATGTCAATATCAATATTAAACATGTGAATGTCAATATTAAATTTTCTGATTTTAATACTTACATTGTGGTCAAGCTAGTGGGAATTAGTGTTTTCTTACTGAAAAATCAGAAATTTAGAATTAAATGGGTATTATGTCTACACTTTAATCTTAACGGGTTCAAAAAATAAAAATTACATAGAGAAAGATAATAAGATAAACAATAAATGTTAACATTTGCTGAATCTGCATGAAATTAAGTGGGAGTTCTTTGCAAAATTTGTGACACTATTTGTAAGTTTAAATTTATTTCATAATTAAATGCTAAAAATAGAGAGGTAACAAATCTTGGGAATTTGAAGGGGCTTATCTAATAGGAACAAGCATATAGCCTTTTATAGCCTTTATCTTAGCTCATTTTCTGATAAAAATTCAAAATTTCTGACCTTTGTATCACACTTCAGTCCTTGACAGACTTCCATTAAGGAATGGGAGTCAACCAATCATGGATCCCAGAATTCATCCTGGTGGGATTCCAGCTCAGCGCCGAGATGGAAATGCTCCTCTTTTGGATCTTCTCCCTGTTATACATCTTCAGCCTGCTGGCGAATGGCATGATCTTGGGACTCATCTGTCTGGACCACAGTCTGCACACCCCCATGTACTTCTTCCTCTCACACCTGGCCGTCATTGACATGTCCTATGCTTCCAACAATGTTCCCAAGATGTTGGCAAATCTGATGAACAAGAAAAGAACCATCTCCTTTGTTTCATGCATAATGCAGACTTTTTTGTATTTCGCTTTTGCTGCTACAGAGTGTCTGATTTTGGTGGTGATGTCCTATGATAGGTATGTGGCCATCTGTCACCCTCTCCAGTACACTGTCATCATGAGCTGGAGAGTGTGCACAATCCTGGCTCTCACGTCCTGGTCATGTGGGTTTGCTCTGTCCTTGGTACATGCAATTCTCCTTCTAAGGTTGCCCTTCTGTGGGCCCCGGGATGTGAACCACCTCTTCTGTGAAATTCTGTCTGTCCTCAAGCTGGCCTGTGCTGACACCTGGGTTAACCAAGTGGTCATATTTACTACCTGTGTGTTTGTCTTAGTCGGGCCTCTTTGTTTGATGCTTGTCTCCTACATGCACATTGTCGGGGCCATCCTGAAGATCCAGACAAAGGAGGGCCGCATAAAGGCCCTCTCTACCTGCTCCTCCCACCTGTGTGTGGTTGGACTCTTCTTTGGCATAGCCATGGTGGTTTACATAGTCCCAGACTCTAATCAACGAGAGGAGCAGGAGAAAATGCTGTCCCTATTTCACAGTCTCTTTAACCCAATACTGAACCCCCTGATCTACAGCCTGAGGAACGCTCAGGTGAAGGGCGCCCTCCACAGAGCACTGCAGAGGATGCAGTCTATGTAAGGAGTGGACAGAGTGTTAGTTGGATAGGTCTTTGCTTTTAAACAAGTGGTTTGCTGAAGCAAAAACTGAGAACTTTTTCAGTTAGAAGTTTGATATAAACATGCTACTTTTTCTAATTCTAGCTCTGAAAATAGGACAAGATTACAGTGAAAAAATAGCATATTATATTTTACACTACCTTTTCCACTGAAAACTCTATGGAGTAGGAACCCAGTTCCTGGATTAAATTTTAATGTTGAGAGTCACTTCTATATGGAGAGTGGAAGAGATGGAAAAGCTATTTTCCTTTGGAATTTGCATCATTTTCTCAGCATTTTATTGCAAATCTCCCGTTTTGAAAGAAAAGCAAACAAAATCCAAAGCAAGCATAAACAAATATAGATTAAAATGTATATAAATAAAATAGAAAATTGAAAAAGAATAAGTAAAATCAGGGAAATCAAAAGTGTTTCTTTGAAAAGATTAGCAAAATTGACAAACTTTAGCTACATTTACCAACAAAAAAGTTAAAGACTCAATTACTAAAATTAGGGACATAGAAAACATCATCAGCAATCTTACAGATACAGAAAGGATTATCAAAGAACACTATGAACAACTCTGTGTGACCAGCTGGAAACTTACATAAAAGGAAACATTCCAAGAAAGTCACAATCTACCAACTCACTTGAAAATCAATAGATAATCTGAATATACTTCTAATAAGTAAGGAAGCTGAATTCGTAATTTTCAAACTTACACCAAATAAAGTTGCCAATCATATTGCTGTAGTGGCAAATACTATTTAATTTTTAAAAGAATAATTACTACTATTTCTTCATAAAAATCTCTCAAAAATAGAAGAAAATGGAACATTTCCCAACTTATTATATGAGGTCAGTATCAGTTGATACCAAAAAAATCAAAGACATCACAGGAAATGAAAACTATAGACCAATTTCTTTATGAATATAGATGCAAAATGATTCAACAAATACCAGCAAACCAAACGCAGCAAACATAATTACGAAGTGAGGTTTATTCAAAGAATGCAAGTTTGTTTAAGCATCCAAAAGTCAATGTAATAGAGCATGTTAATAAAGAAAATAAAACACATCTGATTATACATATTAAAAGCATTTGACAATTCCAAAATCCTTTCCTGACACACACACAAGCGCGCGCGCGCACACACACACACACACACCCCAGACTAGAAATACAAAGGAACTTCTTCGAACTGATAAAGGGTAGATAAGAAAACCACAGCTAAAATTACAATTAATTGTTAAAGACTGGGATGCTTTCCCCACAAGAAATATGATCAAGGAAGTTTTTTTGTTGCTGCTTCTATTCAGCATCAGACTGGAAGTTCTAGCCAGAGCAATTAAACAAGAAAAAGAAATAAAAGGCATCCAGATTGGAAAGTCATAAGGTGAAATGATCTTGTAAATAGAAAATTCTAAGGAATTTTTTAAAAATCAGCTCAAACAAATAAATTCAACAACATTGCAGAATAAGTTTTATACTCAAATATCAATTGTATTTCTGTCAAGAAGCTGAGCTTGAGACAGCTGAGTTTCCAAGTGTCTGAGTAACTAAGCTAAGCAACCAGTCAAAATGACAGTAACAGTCAAGTGTTTAATCATTTACGGTGATAGCATAAGCAAGAGGTTGAACTAGAGTAAGTTTCAACTCCCACACTGTTTCATTTATCCCTTTGGAACTGCACTGGGCAAAGGTCAGGTGGATCGATACAGAAGTAGGGATCATCCCACCGCTGAAGGAGCCCAGAGCAAAAGGTCCTAACATTTTATGGACCTGAGAATACAGGAGAGGAGAGAAGAGGGAGAGAGAAGGGGAGTAGAAACATACTAAATACTGAGTCAGCGTGGAGAAAAGGTGTCTTCAGGGTTTCCCCCTCTCCCCATAAGATCTAGGCCAAGTTCGTCCAACCCAACTCACTCAAAACTAAATAGATAATCTGAATAGGCTTGTAATAAGTGAAGCAGTTGAATTAGTAATTTTAAAACTTACACCAAATAAGGCCATCAATCACATTGCTGTAGTGGCAAATTAAACTTAATTTTAAAAGAATAATACTATTTCTTCATAAAAAATCTCTCAAAACAGAAGAAAATGAAACATTTCTCAACTTATTCTATGAAGCCAGTATCACTTGATACCAAAAATATCAAAGACATCACAGGAAATGAAAACTACATTTCCAAAGACCTATTAATCAAATGTTTGATGTGGCTTTCAGGGTATTCAATAACAGGGATAGAACTGAAGAGGCTGAAAGAACCCAGCATGGCAAATGATGGCATAGACAACAAGCCCAAATGATAGCAGTGACTATAAGCAGCGCCCTGCAATCTCAGGGTCACCCAGGGGGATGCTTCACCCACAGATCAAAAAAGCCTAATAGCAAACCTGAAGGTAATAGCTGCTACTTTAAGTGTGGGAAGTCAGGACATTGGAGCAAGAACTACCCGAGTCAGGGCAGCCCACCCAACCCTGTTCTCATTGCAGGCAGAAGGGTCATTGGAAAAGGGATTGCCCTGAGCTGTGAAGGAAGAAGAGGAAACTTTGACCTTTATAACGGACCTTGAAAGCATCTTCCATCTCTTTCAATATCTTTATAAAGACATAAATATATGGAGGATTAAACAGCAATTAAGCAGCACTTTATGCCATAATGGCCCTAACTGAGGGCTGGTGGAATAAGACTTTTCCACACTTGTCCCCTCTCAGAACCATCAATTTTAACAAGTATCCATGCACAAACATATTTTCACAGGAGCTAAAGAAACCAGGTGAGTGATTACAGCAACTGTGTGTAGCACAGAAGTAAGAAAATATGCATTGCAAAGAGTAGGTAGGGTAGTTTCACAATACCTGCATCAACCCTCCCCTACTTCAGGCAGAACAGTGCAGAGAGAGATACCCTCTGCATAGGGGAAGGGGAGGGGAGAAAATAACAGATTTTGCCTCAGACTCCAACACTGGGCCAGCCTAGACTCCAACAGTGGGTCCACACCAGGCAGGCATTCACAACCATAGTCTCTGAGCTGGTACCCACAGATTTGGCAGCCTACCTGCCACTGCCGAATAGGTCCCCACAGATTCAGGCTCCTCGCTGGCTCCATGGCTCCAGGATTCAGGCCTCACATGCAGACTCAGTCTCCAATCTCATTCCAGCACTAGGACAGCCCACCCCAATGCCAGGCTACCCCAGCTGCTTTGGCCTCCTGACCACCTACAGGACTGGTCTGGCCTCCACAGTCCCAGGTTTCAGTCCTGTCCCAAACTCTCTACTGGCCTAGAGTAAGGGTTCCCCTAATAACCCCAGGCTTCAGGCATGCCTCAGTGCCAGGCCAGGCCCTGAAGCCTCAGACTCCAGCAGACCCAGGGTTTAGGCCTACACCAGTTGACTCAGAGTCTAGGCCAGTTCCAGCAGACCCCAGCACTAAGCTAGCCTCTGTGGACCCAGGTTCCAGGCTAGACCCAGGTTCCAGGAACTGGGCCCAACCTCATAGAACCAGGTACCTGGCTGACTCACTTACTGACCTAGGCACTAGACCAGCCTGACCAAGGGCTTCAACAGGCCCACCTACGGACCATGCCAGATGGCCTGCCTAAAATGACTGGACAAGTTGACTTGGGAAGGGCTTATCTAGACAATTCTGGTTTGCAAAGACTGGAATAAGTCTCTGCTTCTTAAAGTTAGCAGATACCAATGTATGGCCATAAGGATCATGAATAATCATGAAACATGGCAACACTAAAGGAACAAATGAAGCACCAACAACTGACCTTACAAAAATGGAGATTTACAAACTGCCCGACAAAGAATTCAAAATAGTCGTCTTAAAGAAGCTCAATGAGCTACAAGAGAATATAAATAAACAAATAGATAAAATTAGGAAAACAATACCTGAACAAAATTACAAATTCAATAAGAGAAGGAAATCATAAAAAGAACCAAAGAGAAATTCTGGCACTAAACAACACAATAACAGAAATGAACACCACCATATAAAGTTTCAGCAGCAGACTCAATCAAATGTGAAATACTTGGTGAACTCAAAAACAGGTCATTTCATATTAGTCAAAGGTGGGGGAAAGAATGAAAAAGAGTGAAGAAAGCCTGCAAAAGCTATAGGATACCATCAAGAACCAATTTAGGCATAATGAACGTCCCAGAGAGAGCAGAGAAATAGAAGGAAAAAACAAGAAGCTATTAAAAATGATAGAAAACATCGCAAATATGGGAAAAGATATAAATATCCAGGTACAGAAAGCTCCAAGGTTTCCAGTCAGGTTTAATCTAAATGAGACTACACCAAGACATGCTATAACCAAACTGACAAAAATCAAAGACAAAGACATGATCCAGAAAGACAAAAGCAGCGTATCACATACCAGGGAACACCAATATGGCTCTCAAAATATTTCTCAGCAGAAATCTTACAGGCTGAGAGAGTGGGTTGATTTACTTAAAGTGCCAAATAGGAAAACAAAGACTGCCAACCAAGAATACTTGAATGGCAAAGCTGTCCTTCAGAAATGAAGAAGAGATAAAGACTTTCCCAGACAAACAAAAGCTAAGGCAATTTGCCACCACTGCACCGACCTTACAATAACAGCTGAAGCGAGTTCTTCAACCTAAAAGAAAAGGACCCTAATTGGCAACATGAATCATGAAAGGAGAAAACTTAAAGGTAAAAGAAGTACACAATCTAATTCAGAATACTCTAATACTATAATGGTGGTGTGTTAATTACTTATATGTTTAGTCTAACAGTTAAATTATAAACTATTAAAAATTACTACAGTAACTTTTAAGGGATATGTAACAGAAAAAGATATAAACGGTGACATCAAATATTCAAAATGTGTGGTGGCAGAGAGTAGAATAAAAATGTAGTGCTTTCTCAGAAATCTGTAGAACAAAAAAATAAAAAATAAATAAATTTAAAATGTAGTGCTTTTTGTGGCCAAAGATACGTTATCAGCTTCGAATAAACTGTTATAACCACAAGAAACTTTTTGTAAGTGTTATCGTAACCACAAATCAAAAATTGTTAATAGATACTTTAAAAAAGTGAAAAACAAGGAATCAAAACATACTATTAGGAAAAATCACTTAAACACAAAGGAAGACAATAAGAGAGGAATAGAGAAACAAAGTATAAATAAAACAACTAGAAAACAATTAACAAAATGGCAGAAGTAAGTCCTTACTTTATAAATAATCACCTTGAATGTAAACGAATTAAATTCTCCAATCAAAAGGCAGAGTGGCTGAATGGATCAAAAGCAAGGCCCAGCTTGATGCTGCCTACAAGAGAGTCACTTCACCTGTAAGGACACACATAGACTGAAAGTGAAGGTATC